GCAGAGTTAACATTTTCACATCAAAAGTAGACAGAGCAGAGATCAAGCTCCTATAATGCAATTTACATCCATACAATAAACAGAAAACACCTGTGAATCACAAAATACAGTTAATTGATGAATGTTTTACGGTGTGGTTAGTTTTGTTCATGGCTTATATTGCTTAAAACAAAGACATTTAAAAAATCCCTATCAGAACAATACATATAGAAAATACTGAGTCAGTGTTGCTTGACGGCCTAGTTGAGATGTGCAAACAAACTGCATCATTGTTAGCTCTGAAATTCTTCCTGTACAAATCCACAGCGTTGTCTGTCACATTTTCATTCAGCATGTATATCTCTACGAGTCTGTCTGTCTTTATTGCTCTATTTTCCAAGAAAACTTGTCTTCATTTCCTGCTGTAGCGTTTGTTTTGATACTGAGGAGAGATGGCAGTGCTGTAGCGATGGCCTTTTATCAAAGAAACATCTCTCTCTCTCACTCTCTCTCACTCTCTCTCTCTCTCTCTCACTCTCTCTCTCTCTCTCTCTCTCTCTCTCTCTCTTTCTCTCTCTCTCTCCTCTCCTTCTCCCTCGTGCTGTTGTCTAATCCAGCTTGTGAATCACATGCCATGAGCAGGCGAATGTGTGCTGTGTGAGTGTGTGTGTGTGTGTGTGTGTGTGTGTGTGTGTGTGTTTGGTGCTGACCCAAGAGACCTTTTTTTTTCTCTGTTAATCATTCATCTTGGCGATCAATGTTTTCTCATGGCCTGATAAACACCTCATTTGTTTTTAATCCCCATTATATGTTTGTCACCACTGTGTTGCACTTTGTCTTTGTTTTCCCCCACATACGTTGCTGCAATAAACATATCACACATTGTGTGTTATAGATACGCTGTAGTGTGATAGATACTTACCAAGAACACAAGTAAAAGTCAGGATTGGCATGTGTATAAAACAGTGCTAATAATCATAATTTTATGTTTATTATCATTAGGCCTGTCACGATAATCAATACATCGACTTATTGTTCAATACTTGGAGATGACCTCAATCATTTGTGCCTTTGCATTATATATTTACAAATTCACAAATAACATTAAAGCCATATTACGATGATTTATACTCTACCTCACCGATGTCAAAGTTTATAAGTGGACATTTAATAGTATATACTGTTTAAAATTACATTTACCTTTTTAACATCAAATTATATAGAATCTAAATAACAACATCACAAGTGTTTTATAATAATAATAATAATAATAATAATAATAATAATAATAAAATAGCATTATTGTTGTTTTATGCATTAAAGTTATAAAATTCATCACAGTTAAGTAATGTTGTTTTAATATTTTTTTAAAATATTTATTTAGTAAAAAAATCCTAATAATTGTAGTAAAAATATTCAATTAAAAATACATTATTTGATATTTGAATGCACAATGTTTTAATTTGCTGTGAGATGTTTTTCCCTAATTTATTGATATTTATTAGTTTTAAAAATGCCCATTCATTTTAATGGCTAGTGTCAAAATAATATATGTTTGCTATATTTTAGTTTATCCAAAGACTTTTTTTTTTAATAATAATAATAACAATAATAATAAAGTAGTATTACTATTGTTATAATCATTAAATGTATTAAATTCATTACATTTCAGTAGAATTTCAATTACATTGTTTTAAATATTTTTTTATATTTCTTTAGTTTAAAAAGATACTACTAATGATAGTAATAATAGTAAATTAATATAAATAATATGAATTAATATAAAATAATAATAAGATAGTATTAGTTATTATGTGTATTCAAATTATGAAATTCATTACAGTTCAGTAAAAATTTTAATGATATTGTTTTTAGATTTTTAATCATTTATTTAGTTTAAAAAACTTATCATAATTGATAAAAAAATAATTATTTGATATTTTTAAATTGCTTTTAGATGTTTTTCCCTAGTTTATTGACATTTTTTAATTTTAAAAAAGCCTTTACATTTTCATGTGTTTGCTTATGCTATATTTTTTGTTTATCGAAAGGTTTTTTTAATCAAACAAATGCAGTCTTAGAGGACATAAGAGACTTTCAAATACATAAAATGTTTTAATAAGATTATATAATTACACTTAAATACTACTAATCCTGTTATAATACAATATTAATTGTATACTATTGTAATCACTTGTGTGTCAATTGGCTTGTTTTATTGCTCTAGAATATGTTATGCATAACACAACTGTTAAAATGTTGAAAATTTCATCTCACATTTTTCCCTCACTAAAACGAAAATCCGCAGCTTTTGCTTTCCTCATGTGAACATAAAAACTCTTTTGTGTTCTTCAAAATAAACAATAGTTTTGTTATTTTTGGCGTTCAGAACTGTCCTGTGTATTGTTGCGTGAGCATGAATTGTTTTTCAGTCTGAATGTTCCATTCTGTTTCAGTCTCTGTGTTCAGGGACACACAGTGATCGCACCTCTGAGGTTTACCAGCTACATTTGAGACGACCATTATAACACCAAAAACAGCCAAAGCAATTCACACACTTAGAGTACATACACTTGATGAAACATTTGTGTATTGATTCAAGACATATTGTGCACTTTGTAGTTTGCATAAACATACACAAGCTCCGTTTCGTAATAACGAATGCTATCAATTCGAGAGAGAAAGTCTTTCATGTATAGTCAATGCATTAAAATGAACATCGAAAGCGGTGAATGGAAATGACTCTGCGTGCTGGAGAAATGATAGCTGCTGCATTTGTGTAATGTGTTTAACATTGCTCTGGGAAATGTGTTAGTGTTCAGGAAGAAGGAGAGGCTCTTATACCAATTGACGTCTCTCAGTAAGGTCACATCAAGCTGTTCGTAGCGCAGTGACGATAAAAGATGTGCACAAACCGGCAACATTCAAGGCCATTACTGAGAGCCCTTCAGCCTTTATCAACAAATCATCTCGTGCTTGCTCTTCTCAGACAAACTCTTTGATTATATTACAGATTTATTCAGGGAAATGAATTTGCTAAGATATTCATGATTAATGTACTAAGACATAAATAAAGGAGGCAAAAGATCAAAATACATCACAATACGGGAATTGTAGTAATATGAAAACAATTGAATGATTGAACATAAAACAGTTAAGCTGACACAAAAAACACCTCATGGGTTTTGTTGTTTCAGCTAATTTAAATAAGTAGTTTGAGCAAACAGCAAACGTCATGTCAACCACCATATTTGTATTTTTTTAACTCATTGTGTAATTAAAAAGGGAAAAAATAAGCAATCATACTAAAATTGTGTTATGTTAAATCATTAGAAAGGTAGTTTTTAGGGAATGTGCCAAATGTGGATATATTTAAAATATCCAACCCAAGCTCATTCTGGAAACGTAGCCCCGCGGACGTTTCTGGAGACCGCGATTTACGTGGCCGGAGGTACGTAAAGGCCGCGTTTGGTTTTTTTCGAGCGAACGCTGCGGGGCGGTGTGGTGCCGCTCCGCCCCTCCTCTTCGTGCTTGCCGGCCGACGGCTCGCCTCCGAGTGGAGGGCTTTCCCAACGCAATCAGTTTGTCCGCCTAGCTCACAGCGTTGCGTCGGCGGAGCGGAGGCCCCGGACGAGGAGAAGGAGGAGCCGGAGCCGGCCGCGGTGAACGACGACCGGGATCGAGTCCGGGGAACAGCGGGTTCCGGAAATCAGGTGAGACGAAAAACGGAATCCGAAAAATGAGGGCAAGAATGCGGCGGGATCCGAAAACGCGGTCGAAATCGAAGACGAGGGCTTTTGCTTTTTTTTTTTTTTTTTTTTCAATCCGGCGGCTTTTCGCGCGAGAACAAAAAAACGCTCGAATACGTACCTCCCGGGACGTAAATCGCGGTCCGCAGAAATGTCCGCGGGGCTACGTTTCCACAATGAGCTTGGGTTGAAAATATCTGATATTTTGGGGCTGCAAAAAAGACTTGCATGAAGTCATTAAATTTGTCATAAAATAATACTTGATCTAAATATGCCTATATGTACTTACGTTGACAGTGTTGGAAAAAAGTCTTCGCCTAGTGGACCATGCATGCGCACTGGTAACTGTGCTACAAATAACTCGAGTTCAAAGCTCGACTTTTACAAATTCTATTAAATTGTGACTTGATGTATTTTAATAATGTTACTTTTTTGAACAAAACGAATTATATTTATTCACAAAGTTTTCATTTTAATGTTAAAACAAAACAAGTTAGGAGAACAATTAAAAATTAACATCTATAGCTGCACCAGTCTGGATTCGAACCAATTTATTTCTATGTGCTAGTTAGGAACTCTCATCGCTTCACTAAATCATTTGCTAACTCAACTCTACAACATGTGGTATAACACCTCAGTTTGCTTAACTGTTTCTTTGCCAAAGCTGTTCCAGAGCAATATAAATGACCAATAGGTGTCACTTTAGAGACGGGTTTCAAAACATTTTGAAGCTTTAAATCATTTGATTTGACTGTTTCAGTGTTTTTTGAAGCCATGCTTTGCCCACCATTATCAAAAACACGATCAAGCAAGACAAGAATAATGTTTCGTAGTGCTTACAGGAAACAAGACTCAGCAAAGTGTGTGTGTGAGTAAGGCGCATTTATAGTCCTGGTTATTGGTCTTCATAAGCTTCAGCTGTGTTTGCAATCAAGGGGGATTTAGGCCAGGTGTGTGAGTAAAGTGTATGATGGGATCTGTAGTGCAGTTGAATGTAAGTGTTCTCCAGCAGCCTGCAAGAGCAGCACTGCTGATAATCATAACAGAAGGAATCAAATTAATGGATTAGTTTTTACAAATGTAAGCGGATGGAGCATAAAACAGTCAAGTTGTCTCCCCACAAATCCAAGAATTGTGTGGTTTCAGCTCATTTTAAATAAGTAGTTTTTTCACTGTATGTTTGTACTGTATATATATATATACTTTTTTTCCACAGAATATTTAGTTTTGCCGAGCTAATCACTCATTTTTCTCTTTTCCTCTTCTTCTCAGGTCGGTGACAGACCCCAGAGACGGCAAACGCGTGGCACTCAAAAAGATGCCCAATGTCTTCCAAAACCTGGTCTCGTGCAAGAGGGTTTTCCGTGAGCTGAAGATGCTTTGTTTCTTCAAGCACGACAACGTGAGCTTCCTCTTTTGTATTAATCAGTCAGTGTTCCCTTACTCTCTGTCCCCATGGTGCCATTAGCTCTGGCTGTCCCTGTGCTGCTGGTGCCTGGAAACCAGTGTGATGTGAATGCTGGTGTCAGTGCCCACGTTCACTAACGTCAAAGCTGACCTCTGGCGCTCTGTCTTTGTTTCTCCACAGGTGCTGTCAGCTCTGGATATTCTGCAGCCTCCACACATCGACTACTTTGAGGAAATGTATCCTAAACAAAAAAAAATGCTGCTCTACCAGCTGCTGTCAAGCGAAGGGGTTTTGACGCACGAAAAAGTTAGGAATTGATCAGAGTTTTTGACTTGTGCTGGAATTATTGCTGGCTTATATATACATTATGATTATTGGTTATTTAAATGTGATGATTATGTGAAAATGAACCAGACAGCATCACAGTTTACTTATTTGATTAAGACCTAGAAAGAGTGCATTAATAGTGACGAATATTCATTATTTTTTGTAGTGGGGTAGTCTAATAACATTTTCTTATTGTATAGATACAAAATAGTAATAATAAAATATAATACTTGAAACATTTGAATTCAAATAATATAATATTATTACGTTTTCTTATTTTGATTATAATTAGTAAATGTAATACTAAAATAGTATTAATAAAATAGTAGCAATAATAATTAATATATTTAAAAAAAATAAAGAGAACAATTGAGGCACTTTAAATGTTCCCTTCATTTTTTTGAGCAGTATATTATATTTATGGCTTTAAGAATTAGTTTAAATAATTTATTAAGTAATATAAAAGACAGATAACATAAAGAGATAAATAAGATAAAAGAGATAACATAAAGTCATCATCTATAATTGTCTTTATATTATTATTATTATTATTATTAATACTATTATTGTTTTATTATTTGTAAATGTTTATTTTATTATATAGTTTAGTAAACACCTATACAAATATAAAAAAATGGAAATCATTATATAATATTTATGACTTTATTATTATTTATTATATTTTTATTGAGTAATATAATAGACATAATATAGACATATTTATTAATGTCTTTATATTATTATTATTATTATTATTATTATTATTTTATTATTATTATTTGTATTGGTTTATTTTATAATGTAGTTTAGCAAACATTATCATTATTATTACTAATATTAATAATAATGTAAATACTTTATTTATTTATATTATTATAATGATTTATATGAATAATAATAAGAATAATATTAATATTAAATTTGATTTATTGTTTGTATTAGTTTATTTTATTATATAGTTTAGTAAATAATATGAACAATAATATTATTATTAATATTATTTTATTATTTGTATTAGTTTTATTTTAATATATACATTATTTATTTATCATTTTATTATCATTAATATTATTACTTTATTATTTGTATGTGTTTATTTTATTATATACATTATTTATTTATATATATATATATATATATATATATATATATATATATATATATTATTTTATTATTATTCATATTATTATTTGTATTAGTTTATCTTATTATTTATTTTAGTAAATAATTGTAATAATAATATTATTATTATTATTTTTATTATTATTATTATTATTATTATTATTATTATTATTAATAATAATAATAATAGAAAGAATCCTAAAGTTTATTATATATTTACAGGTATAAACCACATTCTAAATGCCTGTTTTTTAGACCTTGAAAGCTTCAAGCTTCAACACAATTTAAAAATCAAAAGGAGCCGAATGAAACAATAGATGGTAGATTACAGTACTCCCGCATGGAGAGGGCATCTGAGGTCTTGTTTTAAGGTCTTAAATTGCAGCACATATGCTTTTTTGTGCCTATTGTGGTTGCTAAAGTGGGATCAAGCTGAACATAATGTTTGGAGAGAGGTTATGGCTCGCTTCATGCTGTGCTTGAGTGTTTTTTATACGTCATCTGTTTTAAAACTGGTCTGGCCTGTTCACTGATTATCACACATTTAGGCCTCTTCTTTCTCCTTTCTCGTTTTTCTTTACATCCCTTAATGGTTTTGTTTTAGCAGAAGGCACTTCATATGGATTTCAGAAAAAAAAAAAAAAGCTGACACAGCCTTTTCTTTATGAAACCACACTCTGATATTTCCTAGATGTGGTCTGCCCACTGCTAAAGGCATCCCCCGGCTTCTTAATTCGCTTTATAATTGAATCAGGGGAATTACATGCTTTCCCTGTTTGCCACTCTTGCCCGGTCACCCGATACGCTCACTCTCTATAAGCCTTTCTTTCCAATACCAAGAGGCTTTCTGTGATTAGAGCTGGACCATTTTCCTCTTAAATTAGCTGAAAATTTTGCTCTTCAAAATCAGGAACAAAACAGCCTCTTGTGTTAATTAGCCGGGAGATTTATCCTGTGCTTTTGTATTTTTAGACGTTCCTCATGTAGCGTGACTGCTGGCAGGGGTTTGGGCTTCGTTTTGCAGTGTTTGGAATCGCCTGAAAGATGTATAACGTTAGTAAATAATGCCGTGTGCGAGTAAATCCACTGCAGAATGGTGAACATGCCAAACAACATGCACTTTACATTTTAAGCTCTCTGCAATGATTGATTGTGATGGTTTGAGAGTGCTTGGAGATGTATTGCACATTCAGGGCTTCTGTGTGCTTGCATTTATGCTTTTTTGGCAGCAGGATTGAGGGAGACATATTGTGGGAAATATGGGAAATATGTCAATCCAGGCTCATTCTGAAAACGTACCGCTATATACATTTCTAGAGAGTGCCAAATACATTACAGGAGGTACGGTTTTTTGCTGTTTTTGTTGTCGCCTATCCGCCAGAGGCCGCTGTGTATGCTTTTTGAGGCCTCGAATTTCTCTCGCGAGTGTCATTCAAGCCTGTTGTTCTCGCGTAAATCAACTAGAGGCCGCTGTTGACTGACTGAATGACTGACTGACTGAGCGATCAACTGACCCACCCTTTTCCTTCTCTAAACCCAACCAATAGTGTTTTCAAAAGCACCGATTGACCCTACCACTCACTTCCCTTAAACTCAACCGACAGTTTTAAAAAGCAATCAAGAAAAAGGATCACCTGATTTCTACCATGTTTTCAGATTTTACCACATTCTCACCCTGTTATTTACTTTGTTTATTTTATTTTTTGGCTTCTGTTTTTTTCTTACCCACTTTCTGGAACCGTTCTTTGCCAAACTTGAACCCTGTCATTGTGGTCAAGTCCTCTCTGTGTCCGCAAAGGTACATAGCGTGCTAATGGAGAAGCTGGTAAAAGTGAGAAAGCCATCCTCACAGGGGTGGAAACAGGGACAGCATCATACCGCCCTGTAACGTTCCTTTTAAAGATGAGATGCAGCCATACATTATTCTGGCTACATAAATCACGATCTTCAGAAATGTTTATAGGGCTACACTTTCAGTATGAGCCTGTGTTGGATGTATGTTGTGTGCATACTAAATATATAAAAATTAATTTTTTTTTCAGTTGCAGAAGGCACCCACTAAAATGTAAATCTGTGTAAAAATAGTTTATAGTTCACTAAAATAGTTTACTGAAAAATCATTTCAGGCATACAAACAATAACAACTTGATAATAGTGATAATATAAATGACATATAATAATGACATATAAAAAAAACATCTAAAACATTTTTAATACATATAGATTACATATTGAAAACTATAAAAGTCTCACATTACTAATTTATTGTCATTTTAAATTATTACCTATTTATTATAACCTATACACTTTGCCCATTCGTTGTAAATGCATTTTTAATAATTTGACAATGATAATTTGAATAATGAAAAAAATTTAATAAATAAATAATAATATTAATAAATAATAAATACATAAATTTAATAATTTAATAATGAAATTTTTAATTAATTTGAAGTCAAAACTATGAACCCTCCTGTGAAATTGCAGTTCTTTTAACAGTTTAATATGTCCTATGTGCTGTTTAACTGTTTAGATTTTTTAAAACATTCCAAAACATAATTGTTTTAATAAATGATTTCTAATAACTAATTGGTTTTGGTTTGCCATGATGATAGTACACAATACTTAATAATTATTCTGTTGTCGACGGCAATAGCCTAGTGGTTAACAGTGCTGACAAATAGCACCAAAGTGCTCCCGGCGACCCAAGTTCGATTCCCGGCTCGAGGTCCTATGCCAATTCTCCCCTCTCTCTGCTCCCAATGCTTTCCTGTCTGTTCTACACTGTACTATTGCATTAAAGGTGAAAAAAACCCTAAAAATAATTGCTTTACAAGATACTAGTATTCAGCTTATAATGCAATTTAAAGGCTTAACTAGGTTAATTAGGCAAGTCATTGGACAACAGTGGTTTGTTCTGTAGCCAATTTCTTAAGGGGACTAATAATATTAATCGTAAAAATAATACAAATGCAGTTGTAATCATTTAAACTATAGAGTCAATCTAACTGATATGCATTGAATGAATTTGGACACATAGTTGTTTTTGTTAAGTGCCATACTCCAGATCATAGACTATAAACATTGCACACTCCTAATTGCGACTCTGATTTCAACTGTTTTCCAGAAAATAAAATGAAAAAAATGCATTATAAGTTTATTTTGAAATCTAAAAATAATCACAATCTTTCACAGTATGGTGAAGACAGGAACTAGGAATTTTATGGCCCACGGGCCACATGTGGACTTCTTGCATCAACCCGCTAAAGTATTTAATTAATTTTAATTCAACCACAGGGCCTTGCAACGTGCAATGATATTCCGAGAAAACAAAAGGGTACTTTTAGATATAGCGTCTTTTGCGCGCTTAGTTTAATTATTTTAAATGGAGACACGTAGGTTCAAATAGGATGTTGTGCACATGCAATATGTCACGCTCACGTTTTTCAGGCACCGCAAGTTGAAAAAAAAAAAAAAACATTTCAGAGGGCCGCTGGTGAACCACAAATCATGTGACAGGAACCAACAAGGCAGCTTCACACTTTGTATGTAATTACACAGTAATAAAGGTAGACTAATTACCTCAGATTAACGATTTAACAAATGCAGATACAGATCCTCTCGCAGTGATGATCACATAGCACATAACCTATCCATCTCACATTCAACCTGACTTCAGTGCACTTCTTCAGTTCAACACAGGCTAGAATTCTCTCTCTCCACTTAAAAAAATAATGAATGAATGAATGAATGAATGAATAAATACAATTAACTAAAGTGAAGCAAT